CAATTAAGCAGCGACAATGCACTCCACCACTGCCAGTAGGCAGCATAGGACAATGTTTCCGTCCTCAAGGGCTATAGCTGTTTGGTTGAGTTGAGTAGCGATAGACAGCAGTTGACGCTGATACAAGAAGAGCCCAAGTTGGGACGCAATTCCTGGAAAACTTATTTTGAGCGCGGCCTCTTGCGCTTCTCTTCGGAGCACCCCGACCACAAATTCCACTGCACGGACTACAGCCACGCAGAAGGAGCCAAAGCAAATGGAGCCTTGGCCCGCTGTGTCTCTATGTCTTAAAAGGCCAGGAGCTGGCTGCAGGCCTGTCCATCTTGAGTGCTGTCAGGCAGCCAAACGATGTTGTGCAAGCCACCTGCGTCAGACTTCTCACTGCTCTTGGGCAAAACTGTTCAGAAGCAAGTGCGCAGGCGTCTGGCCAGTTTGGCCAACTGCACAAAACAAGAGAACACATGAGCTGCTGGTGCTAAAAGCACGTTCTCTGTTGACACAAGCCTTCAAACTCTTCGAAATTGGCGCGTCGTCTGGTCTGTCCTGGGCAAAGCTTGGCAAGTAGGACACTACCACTCAGAGAGAGAGAGAGAAAGAAAGAAAGAAAGAAAGAAAGAAAAGAAAGAAAGAAAAGAAAGAAAGAAAGAAAGAAAGAAAGAAAGAAACAAAAGAAACAAAAGCAACAAAAGAAACATAGAAAGTAAGAAAGAAAGAAGGAAAGAAAGAAAGAAAGAAAGAAAGAAAGGAAGGACGAAAGGAAGAAAAGAAGAAAGAAAGGAAGAAAGGAAGAAAGGAAGAAAGGAAGAAAGGAAGAAAGGAAGAAAGGAAGAAAGGAAGAAAGGAAGAAAGGAAGAAAGGAAGAAAGGAAGAAAGGAAGAAAGGAAGAAAGGAAGAAAGGAAGAAAGGAAGAAAGGGAGAAAGGGAGAAAGGAAGAAAGGAAGAAGGAAGGAGAAGAAAGGAAGAAGGAAGGAGAAGAAAGAAACAAAAAAAGAAAGAAAGAAAGAAAGAAAGAAAGAAACAAAGAAACAAAGAAGCAAAGTGTCAAGAGATGGCAAGGTGACGTCCCGTGGGACGCTGTCCACCGAGCCCCCAATAACCACAAATGCACACTCTATATCAGCAGCGCGAATGAACCTGTTTTCTCTCTCACTGATCGATCACGGGCGAACGTAGTTCATGTAAGACCTTGAGCCCTACTTGCAACTTGAGCCAAATGTGGCAACCAAAGGGACGTTCCAATCAACAAGAACATGGACCTCAGAACGGCTCCCCAATTTAGGCACGGGGCCAGGAGGGTTTTAACATCCCCCGTTTGGGTCGCACTGTTCATCATGCGGTCCAAACATCACAACAAGTCCCAATGGCCACGGCTCCGATTACGAAACTGTGTCGAACACTCTTTCACTCACTACTGCAACGCCGTTCATTCATTGTGAAACTCAGCCGGGTTCGATTAAACCAAAACGTGCATCCGCAGATCGCAGCACATCTCTATACACAGAGGCATGAGGTATTACACCTCGTACCACAACACAGCCATCGGAGATCCCAGCTGCCGCATTTGCGCACGGCGCAGCTGTCATCCATAGACATGGGTTGGCCACAGAAATCCATAGCAGTGCATGATCATAAGCCATCCGTATATAACCGCCAAAGAAAATGGCGAGCACTATGTATGCAAAAATAGCCATCCCAGATACCATGAAAATATAAGGAAATGAAATCATCCATGAGATAATAGTGCCCATTCATGAATATCCGGAATGCCATAGTTGTCGGAATATGTAAATACATACATGAACATGGTCCTTGGACAGGTGAATCGCATCATACCATAGTTCATTCCATCGTAGTGAAATCAATATGTTGCTGGCGATGGATGGGGTCTGGCCCGCACCGTGCCGCAAAAGCAACGATGATCCACTTCATAGTAGAGTCAACATATTGTTGGCGATGGATGGGGGTCTAGCCCGCACCATGCCGTAAATGCAATGTTGCTCCACTTGTGTCCACAATGGCCATCTTTGTGATACGTCGACGGAATTCCTCGTCCAAGTTGCGTTGGGCCTCTCGTGCTCGGGCATACTTCTTGTACTGCTCGTCCGCAAGCCAATGTCCCTTCCGGATGCACCAATCGAGTAGAGGTTCGTCACATTTGCCCGGGTCGCGTGTCCATACCACAACGACTTGGGACGCTACCCCAACATCACTGAGTTTGATCGGGATGGTATCATATTGCCATCAAATGAGCATAAAATTTCTCAATCTCAGAATGTTCGGACAAGGACCTTCAGGATGGTCGAAGAGCGCACCCAATACATTCGTTATTTGGCGCTCAAATGCGAGGGGCTGTATGTCTTCTACAAGTTGTGGATTGCAGCAAGGATCCTCGACATCACCAAGGATGAAACGAAGCTATTGGTCAGCGAACGCAGGCATCCAGTGGGGGGGACATCGTTTACAGGTGCTTCTCTCTGGCATTCAACTGCAAATACATATCTTTCGCAAGGACCTTGAGCGCGGCGTCGATTGTTCTCTTTTCGCCAGCCTCAAACATCCCCCACAACCTTGACATTTGCAGCGCAATGAACCCTGCCATGTATTGAGCCTCACGCGGCTCATCCATGCAGATTGCCATCCTTTGGGAGTTGATGATATCTCGCGCGGCCATGTCATTGTCGCGGTAATCCCAATCATTGTTCTTCTCTTCGGCCGGATGTGTACCCTTGTGTGTCCATATCGTCACCCTCGGGATCATCATCCATTCCACCACCCTTTTCCTGTGCTGCCGCATTGTCGTTCGCTTCCTCCTGCGCTCGCCTGGCATCTCCGGATACGTTGGGCTTGTGTTCATCACCATCGTCGTCGGAGCTGATGTTGACGCAGAATCTCCCAGTAGAGATCAGTTGCGCTTCACGCTCCAGGCACACACAGAAGCACGTAGGAATTGCAGTTGCACAAGACGGACAGATTCGGCATCTAAGCCCTTCCCATGTCTCGTCATTCAGGATGATGGTTTTGCTGATCTCATCTCTGATCTCGTTGGTCAGGGCTTCCAACTCTTCATGTTGGCCGCCCCGAAACAGCGTGCAGGCACGATCCACCATCTCTTGAACGTAGTGCAGATCGTCGGTGCCCGCCTCTGTTTCCGGCGATCCCTCGATGACCTTCGCAACGTTCTGGAGGAACATCAAGGCCGACTCTTGGGATGAACCAACGAAACCTGGGCAGATCTCATTCTCGACGCATTTCGAGTACGCCCGCTTGACGTCCTCGATTTGCAGGCATCTTCCTTCGTTGCTCTTGCCGACCCAAATGGACTTGACTTCATAGAACGGGATCACATCGAAGACCATAAACGTCCCGTTGAACGCAACTCCAGCTCCATACCGCGCGAGAGTTGCGCTGGGAGTGTAGATGATTGCGATCGGACCCCCAACCCGCAGGTTGCGCAGCGTCGTCTTCGTCGCCAAGTTCATTTTGTCCCATGGAGCGAACGCCCCGAAGTGCAATGCCAATCTGTTCCCGCCACCGATTCCGCCGGGGACTACCACATATGTCACATGGAATGCGCCCATCCTTGCGGAATACCTATTTGCCAGTGCGGATGAGCTCACGAATCCAAAGTCACTGTGACCAGTTGTGGCTCGGATACACCAAGGTCTGTACCATCCATCGCATCTGCCGAATACCGCGTCGATCTCATCCTGATCGACACCCATGTAGGCCAACTCCTGTCTGGCGGCCCTCGCGTCATTCGGGTTCATGATGCTCGGAAACCTCGCTGCTAGAATCTGAAATCTAGATTTCTTGTATCCAGACTCCTGCCACTTGATCACCTCCATGATGCCCATGTAGCGTCTCGCTTTCGAAGTCTTCGGTGGGAATATGTTCACCTGGCGGTCGTCGATGATTGCGTCAATATCGACCCACCCACCTTCATCACACTTGAAAGCACTTCCTCGGCAGTTGCCGATCTTGTGTCGAAGGATTCTGCAAAGATCGTGAGATAGCTGATTACCTTGATCTTTCGCTCCGAACACAGAATACTCATCACCAATTTTGCAAAATGGAGCGTCATTGAATGGGTAAATGCAGAAGTTGGTGCTCTTGCCAAGCTGTTGTACATCAATCTGCTCCAAAATGGCGCCCTTGGGGAAGAAACTGGGATCGGTCATTGAAGCGTACGCCCATGGCAAGTCGACGCTTACTTCTCTTCTTTGGGCTGAGAGCTTCGACTCTGATCTGGCTCTGGGCCGATCATCGTCTCCACCCTCTGACGCCTTCCTCTTGGATCCTTGGTTGGCCTGCTCGATCACTAGGGAGTACGGATGCTTGGGCTTGATCGTGTTCATGATGTCCAACACCTCTTTTGCGGGTGTCCCGAGCTGAGCAGAAGGCTTGTTCCGCTTCCGGTTTTGTCCCGTCGTGTGGCTCACGCTCCCTGCAAGGCGCCGCACGATGGATTGCTCGAACTCCCTCTTGATCTTCCATACATCTCTCCACAATGGAAGTTCCTGTTGGAAGTAGGACATCACTTCGAAGAATCCCAACACCATCTCAACGACGTCCCCCAAAGACTCTTCATTGGTAGTTTGTCCCAAGAGGTCATACATCGTCCCCTGATCAAGCACGCTCTTGATCCATGACGAGTAGGCCACGTTGCCAAGCTCTCTGTCAATCACGTAGATGGAGGTCTTCTCCTCAACCCCTTTGGAATTCCTGCACATGACCACATCTCTGGTTGCGCACAATTGCTTTCCATGTCCGTAACCGTAAAACTGCGCCGCCTGATCCACCGTCATGCTCACGAAACCCACGTGGGACAGCTCCTTCTTCAATTTGGAATATGCAAGTTCCCGTATAATCGTGATCATGGCCTGAACATTGTTGACGTCCACCATGAGATGTTGGAGGCCTGGGATCGCGACCTTGCACTCCCCGAAAAGTCGCGTGTAGAGTTTCTCCCGTTTGTTGACCTCGTGACACCGTTCGTGCTTGCATTCCAGTTCGTGCAACAGTTCACGCACACAGTTGGGTTGAAGGTCGTATCGGACCCGAGCACCTTCGACTTGTTCCTCTGCATTTCATTTCTGCATAGCTCGCAGATAAAATCGCTGAGCTCAGAGACCGTATACCATCGAAGACGCTGATCATTGGCATCAACGTTCCCAAATGCATCTTGTCCACTATGACCTTCGTTCTGGCGCTCCTGCTTCCTTCTTGACTGAGCGGTGAACGTCGGCTTGTACTCGAATCTTACCTTCGATTCCTGGGGACATTGAATTGAAGGTCAGGCTCATTGATGCAAATCTCCTCCAGGTCGTTGACGAACACTAGACTTGGCGCAAGCGCATCAATGGACTTCTCCACCAACAACCGCTTCAGGAGGTAGCATTGCAGATTCGAGCTCCGGGGATCTTGTAGTTCTTGGCCGCAAGCGCATGAGCAACGCGCCACATGCGGTAATTCTCGGACACCAACGCACCTGCCGCCTTGCAGATCTCGCTCACCTTGTTGGCAATCGTACCCAAATCCCCTCTTCCACCATGGAAAGCTACATCGCGGTTCACGCACACAACGACCATGCCCTTGCATACGTTGACGAGGTCCGATATCGCCTTCGACAGGGAGTCAATGATGGGCCTGGTGGCCACCCACAACCTCTCACGCACATCCAGTCGTAGAGCGACATCCAGATGTGCACCGACACAGGTGAAGCATCCATATCGCGCTTCCGTCCTTCACCGATAAGCTTTTCCAGTTGTTGCAATCGGGAGATGATATTCACCGTGTCCGGGTTCGATGAGACTGGCTCGCTCGACCCGTAACACGATCTCTCCTCGATGTTCGTCCATCCATGCTCGTTGACCATCATCTGGAAAGTCTTCGTGCTCCCCTTGGAGTTGACGGCTCTCAGGGGCCAATCCAGAACCAGGAAGCTCTTCTTCTGAATCATCATGTCACGGATCGTTGCCCCATCGATGTGACGCCTTCCCTGTTCTTTGATGATCCGGCTCAACCGCGCAGGCGCGTTGTCAGGGTTCTTCTCCGCTTGTATCAACGCATTGATGGCCTTGGCGCCCGGAAGGCGCCCTGTGATCAAGCATCCCGTCTGAGCACGTAGGAACGCATATAGCTGGAGCCATGCAGTGTTGCTCTAGGAAAGAATGATCTTTTCAGCACTAGATTTCTCTTCGAAACGCACTAGCGATGATGTCAGATTCCTCAGCATGCACTCCCAATATGTCGCAGTCTTCCCCTCGAACACTGTTTGTATGATTGGGTACCCGGTGTTGGCGTCGATGTTAAACTTCACATTGACTGTTGCGCCACCCAGGGTGACACCTCCCTCGAATGAGGTGTATGTCTCGTGTCCAGCCGCGGCGCTGATGATCTCCCATCTGTCATCATCTCCGCCAGAGTTCATTCGGAAGATGGAGTCTATGATCTCGAGGGCAAGAGAATTCCCAGGAGAATGGAGACGAGCAGCGATCTGGGTACATGCATAAAATGGGTCGAGGACATTGGCGTCCCCGTCATATATGCTTACTCAGCGTATTACTCTGCGAAATGCCGCGGCATGATGAAAGGTGAAGGGCAATCCATGAGGGTCGCGTTGGAGTTCCTCAGCAAGATCTTCGGGCTACTTTCTGCCGATGAATGCCTGCTGGGATGGAGAGAGTTCTGCAGTAAGGGAAAGAAGATAGTGGCGGCACTGAACCAACTCTGTGGGGAGGCTTCGCTACTAGCAAAGAACCCTGAGCTGCTGAGCGTCACCAAGTACTGAGTCGAGGGGGCCGACATGCTGAGATCCATTGCGGATATCTGTTTATCAGTGATGAGCCGACATCAAGGCGGTGGAGGAGTTCAGAGGAATTCATGACAACCGCCGAGCTCGAGAGGGCCGATCGAAGAATTGCGAGATCGAAATTGGGGGAAAGTGTTTACGCTGAGCGTAATCAAACCTCCCAAAGTCGACTCCTACGAGCGGAGCACGAAGGCCGACTACCAGAAGAACTGGAACCTTGGGTTGGTCTACCAGAAGGAGCTGCGCATGTCAATGAAGAATCTGGCGTTTGCAATGAGGAGGGATGAGAGGGCTCATCAACACAACCTTCTGCGCTGGATGATTTGCGGATCAGTTCCCAGTGACATCTCAGACGCGTGCATTGGGGCGGTGAACTCACTTATGTGTGTATCCTTCATCTTGAGGAGGCTGCAGCCGTTGGTCGGAGAGAAGAATGGCGCAGATCAGTCGTACAGAGTCTGCTTTAGGCCGGACAAGTCTGAATTGAAGGACCTGTACTGGGAGATCGAAGCAGCAAGGGACTTCCTATGGTGTATCGAGATGATCTATAAGTCCACGCTGCCCGCGATGAACATCAACTCCATCAGCCTAGCGCCACATGCGGCCGACAGGGCTGCTGAGAACCAAGATCGGCGCAAATGGGTAAATTGGCTGAAGGAAATTGAGAGAGACGCAGAGAAGGGCCATGT